AGCAAAGGGGGAAAACCCACCACGCTCTCTACCGTAAACCTAGTAAGTGTCTTAAAGGGTAGTGGAGGGATCTTCGTGCCCCCTGTTGGTGTGTGATCCTCAGTCTGCAGTCTCGCTTAGCTCTGCACCTACCTAGCGCTCCAAATAAGAAAGCATCAGAGGCATCAAGACCTGCCTCCACCTGCCGGTCACTTGGGAACTTAAGCAGGAGCACACTCTTGTTCTACTGTCCTGCTTGGTGTGGACCGTTGGTCGAACTGGACACCCTTCATCTTCCCTGGGCCTCCCCTTCCCGTAGTTTCCTCCAATAGTTGGAAACACTGGGGAAAGGACAGAGTTTGAGGTCCTCTGCGCACTAGACCAGCACAACTGGGGACGCCATCAAGGCAACGTGGGTCCAACCAATTGGTCTTGTGGGGGGGGGATGGCTCCCGTTTTCCAACTACCATATTTTTCCATGTATAACATGATACTTTTATCAAAAATCTTTAAACTAAAAATTGAGGGCCGTGTTATACATGGAAGTAAGGGGGGAGGGATCAAAGTGCTGCAGAATCACAGCCTTTTGGTCCTGCAGCCCTTTCATCACTGCATTACCCCTCCATTCAGGCCTTAAGTAATGGAGGGGTACAGCAGTGATGAAAGGTCTGCAGGATCAAAGGGCTGTGTCCCTGCAGCCCTTTGATCGCTGCTTTCCCCCTTCACTTCTGCAGCCCTTTGATCACTGCTTTCAGAGGGCTTAGGAAAAGTGGGGCTCATCTTATACCTTGGGTTGTCTTATATATAGAAAAATACAGTAGCTTCCAGTTCCACACAGATGGAAAATGCCAGGAGAAGATGGGAGAGCTGTCCACAGACATGAGGCTGCATTCAGTCCGGGACAAGCCTTTTGTGAAGGAACCCACTGTTGCCAAAAGCGGGAGGTGGCAGCATTCACCAAAAATGAAGAAGAATGTTAGGCACGTGTCAAAGAAAGCACGGATGCCAGTAAATTGCTTGCCACTCCATAGAGTTTTCAAAGAGACTGCCATGCGAAGTCTTGTGTCAGCATGGGACGGAGGGATGGCCCACTGGGCTTAGTGGGGTTTACTCCCAGGGAGATGGGAAGAGAATGGCCACCTCTTGTCACAGACATCATGTGTGGTTCTCGGAATGTCTTGGGATGGTTCTTCTGCACAGGTAGGCTTGCCCTCCAGGTGAGCCTGTGTCCTCTTCTGAATTCCTCAGAACCGGGTACAGGAGCAGTAGCTGCTGCAAAACCCCGGCAATTCATAATCCTGATGATGCTCCTACAGATCTGGAGGAGTGGGGGAATCTTTCTCCCATGAGACCCCTGCAATTTATCCTGCATGTACTGCATTGCACACAACCAAATATTGTGGCTCGTACTGTCTTACGTATGACAACGTGCAGTGGCGTCGTTTTGTAAAAGTGAAGATGGTGGCCTTTGAGCCAAACGAGATAAGCTGGACGATACAGTTTATTGCTATAGATAGAGGAGAAGGGAAAAGTGCCCCTGAGTAAGGTCCAAAAGGCCAGAGATACCATATGGACAACACAAATGAGGTTTGTGTTGTCCAAGCCTTTCAGGGGCTCAGAGGCAAAGTGGGCGGGTTGTGCAAGAGTCGTTGCCTGACGCGGACATCGCCTTCCTCCCCTTGCCTGGTGCGAGCGCCTCAGGGCTCCTGCACCGTGCACCCAGTGGGCGAGGGGGACAAAACCCAGCCGAAGGGAGGGACTGACTCCACTTGTGCCATTGCAGGAAGTTCATCCGAGAGTCGCTTTCGACGTTTCCGGTGGCAAGCTGATAATCAGACTTTCTCTGGACAGGTAAGGGCATCTTATCAAGGAGTGTTATACACGGAAAAAATATGGTAGTCTAGCGCTCCCCTTCATTGAATGCAACTGCCGCGCAGCAGAGAGCCAACCACAGGTCCATCCAGTTTGGATGCTGTGGGTGCTCCTACCACCCAGGCCACCCTTTTGCGGTCGTCCGGTCTCCTTTCGAAGGCTCCTGCCTCCCTTCCGTTCCAGGAGCACTTCCTTAACGGAGGGACCCCGTCTCGTGCCTTCTCCCCTCTCTGGACGGCTGGACCTTCAGAAACCTGCCGTTCTTTACTTCCCAGACTCTTGTGAATCCTAGAAGCCAACTCCCAATCAGCCCGCTGCCTACAGGATCCCTCCATGGCTAATTAGGGTCCGGGGAACACCTATTCCTTGGCCGAACATCCCCGCAAGCTGCTTTTGGCTCAGAGCTTGGAAACGTTCCTTTTTGGCATCCCTCCCAGAGGCCGCAACGGATGACCCCCAGTCATCTCGAAAGGCAGACTTTCCAGGCGTTGCTGCTCCAAGTTGGTGGACTGGCCAGGTAGTCAGTCTTCCGTTGGTTCACCTTTTCACTTCTCTCTCTCTCTTGCAGTGCTGACGACATATTAATCTCCACACCCGGAGGAGATGGGAATGTAAGTAGACGTGGGTCCCCTTTGCTTCCGTTTCTGAGATTACACCAAGGCATGTCGGGGCCCTTAGTACATGAAGGCGCTCTCTCTGTTTGGGAGGGCCACAGCCAACAGCTTTCTCAAAAAGATGGGCACAAGTGCGAGATGTTTACGAGAGGGCAAAGACACCCACAGAGTTCTTCCCTTCAGGTGCAATTTCACACAGAAAGGGCAATGAAAGAAGCTAAGACATGGTAGTAGGATACAAAGCTATCCAAGCAGCGATAGGAATCACGGTGAGGCCACTTGCACAGTCCCATAGAGAGAAACCCGATGCTCGCTTGCATCCATCGCGCCAGGGACCTGGTCAAGAACCCTCACAGGATGAGGCCAAAGCCAGTGAGCTAACAGGGCTCCCTTTTCAGACAATCCCCCATCTGCTGCCTTAGGGAAGCGGAGGCCCAAAACAACATTTTCCTCTCAGATTTTGTGGGGTTCTGCCTATGCTCCCTGTGCTCAGCTCTTTTGGGGAACGGGGTGTGGGCAACGAACCTTCTGCACGCCCCAGCCCCACCATTCAACCGCCATGCCGAAAGGCCCAAAGCCCACTTCCAGAGCAGGCTGTGGCTGTCCTCCAGCCTCCATGGGGGGCTCCTAGCCGGGCTCAGCTCTAAATCCAGTTCTCTATTTTCCCAGACGGACCAGTACAAACAGCAGAGTGAAGTCATTGTGAGAAAGGTGCTGGACGCTCTGAACCGTAAGTGAGCTTTGCTACTAAGGAGGTGGTGGGGGTTCCCCCCCCCATCCTGGAAGCCCCTAACCTTTGTGAGCACAAGAACCCCGTGCTCACCATGCAGTGCCAGTCAGATCCCTGGGATGTGAGATGGGCCCTTTCCTCGTGCTGCATCCTGTCCCCCTTTGAAACACGATTCCAAGCCGGAAGGAAGCCCCGTCTGAATGTCTAACGGTGCCAAATCCTTGCTATTTCATTTCATTTAACTTGGAACACTTTGTTATACCATGCTTATGTTTTATTGTGCCGTGAACGGCTCAGAGTGATCCCGTCGGTCAGATGGGTGGTATCAAAATTGAATGAATGAATGAATGAACTCTATCTCCCCAAGGTGAAAGGGGGAAAACATGGGGTGCCGCTGAACTGGGACGGGGGGCAATCTGGCAAAGAAGTCGTCCACGTCCAGGATGCCCCATTATCTGGGACTGAGCTCCTCTTTCCCATTCTTCCTTTTAGGTCGCTCCCTAGAGCACGCCCCGACCCTCTCCATATTGCGCACCATGCATAACCCAGCGGTGACTGTTCAGCAGGTAAGAAGCGTAATTTGTAAAAAAAAAATGTTATTTGCGAGCCTCTGAGCCTCTGGGTGGTTGGGACAGGGCACTTATTCCACAAAAATGGGAGGATCCAAGACACAGACCCTCCGAGTTCCCCGCAAACGGCCAGCTTCCCCAGTAAGCCATTTCTTCTGAATGGAACTTGGCCCCTTCCTTCTGCTGGAAGGTGACCTCCTCACCCCCCCGGCTGGACCTCCTGTTCCCAATGCTCTGAACAGTGGCCCAGACCTCCCTGCTGGTCTCTTCATAGAGAGCTGGAGAGCTCAGTGGTTTAAGGCATATCTGGCGGCAGACCCAGAGGTTGGGGGTTCGATTCCCCGCTGGGCCTCCTTGATAGGCTGGATGGTCCCACAGGGTCCCTTCCAGCTCTGCCGTTCTGTTATTGTTACTTCTTAACAGTGTGAACCACCTCTCCATTTTAAAAAGAAAATTAAGGTGCCCAGGAATTTAAAGAAAGCTGAATTCTTGACGATTCCCCGCTGGGCCTCCTTGATAGGCTCGATGGTCCCACAGGGTCCTTTCCAGCTCTGCCGTTCTGTTATTGTTACTTCTTAACAGTGTGAACCACCTCTCCATTTTAAAAAGAAAATTAAGGTGCCCAGGAATTTAAAGAAAGCTGAATTCTTGACCCTGCCAGAATCTGAAGACGTCCTTTTTATTTTATGACGATACCTCGCCGTTTTCCGCAGTTCTTGGGAAAGGAAGCCAAGGGGTGGGGCGAAGGGGCGGACTGAACCCCAGTCCCCACAGATCTCGGGGGCTGGGGAGAGGATGGTAGAAAGGCTACATCCCCTTTCCTAAATCAGGACTGAGGAGAAGGAAGGAATCACTGACGGTCTTTTCTGAATTAGGCCATGCTGCACATCCAGGAGACGGCATGAAGAGCAGAATGGACACCGCTTCGGCCGAGACCCTCCCCGTGACATTGGCTCACAGCTGCCCCCCCCCACGTCCGCCGCAGATCTACTCCCTCACCCTTGAGAATCAATCAGAAGCTGGCTGCTGTGGCTGAAAATGATTTTTTCCCCCAGGCCCAAGACTTCTTGGGACCCTTTTCAAAAACCGAACTGTGGGACAGATGTGTTTTCAATGATGCTTGTGTTTGAAACGGTCAAAAACACCACCACCCTCATCAAGATATGCTGCTCTGCTTCTTAAGATCACATACAGATCTGCCAGAATGCATAAATAAATAGTGCATAACCAGCAAAGGACGCGTCTGCTTTCTTTATTTGATGACATGCAGAATTTGTCCATACAGAATCTGGGTCAATGGAGGCAACAGTTTTTTTACTTTTTCCCCAGCCGTGAGTCTCGTTGCAACCCTGTTCAGACTTACCGAGGCCCAAACAGGCCAAATGGCGAGTCCTTCAAAGCATGTTCTGGAAGAATTCTTGACTCTTCCCATCCACACACATTGCTCTGAGGGCAGGGGGGTGGGCAAAAGGTGAGTCCAGTGCTCATCATCCCCAGCCAGGCACAGCCTAGTGGGTGTGAAATTGTGGGGGCCAGCAACCCAATCTGGAGGATCTGGAGGTCCCCAGTCAACCAAGCCAGCCCACGCCTCGTAACAATGCCCCTGGAGCTGTGCGCCGGTGACAGGAAAGAGGGAGAGGTCACTGCAGGATGGGCTCTGGACGCCACCCCATTGGTGCAAGCCAGGCATTTGGGGGGTGGGGGAAGGACTCAAGAAATCAGAGCTTCCTCAGTAAATCCCATCAGGCCCCTTGAACAAGCGCAAGAATCGCTTTCTTCTGACTCCCGCCTCTCTCTCTCTCGGCTACTCCGGGTTGGTCCAGCTGCCCCCGGGCATGGCTCTATCCCTGCCCATAATATGCAAGCAGGATCAACGACCTCCTTACAGCGAAAAGACCTGTGTAGGTCTACACAACCGTGGCAAGAACAGCTTCAGAAAACTCGTGACCCCTCAAAGTGCAGGGTGGAAGCCTGGCCCACCACAGTCCTGCCAGGGGGAGGCCAGGATCAGGCCTGGGGATGCAGGAGAGCCCCACTGGTGGCTGTTTCCAAGTCCTTTGCTGTTCCTCTTACAAGGGAAAGCTGGCTTCTCGTCCCCTCAGCTCCTCCACGGGCGGCCAAAAAAAAAAAAAATCAGCAAAATGCCCCCGACTCCTTCAGTGTGGTTCGACGGATGGGGACGCCTTGCAGTGTCTGGGAGGTGGCCGAAGAGATCTGAGGGGAGGGTCAAAGAGAAGTAGGACAGTCAAAGGGGGGCTAGTATGGAACTGACCGGACTGAGTGAAGCTAAGGGCGAGTCGAAAACGTTGCCTTGAACCAACTGGTATCTCCTTAGCCCATCTAGGCTCAGAGGCAGCCACGCTCAGGGGCTTCGGGGGGGGGGGGCATCCACTGGGCTGCACCGCTCAATGCAGTGGCTAAGTCCTTGGCTAATCCTAGGCTCCACCACAGATCTACTAGCCCTTCCCAAATACCGTAACAACAATAATGCATGTTGTGAACACAAAAAATCAGGAAGTGCATTAACAGGGGTGGGTGGAAGAAGGACCTCTTCGAAGAAGCACGAAAGAAGTGGCGTTGAACCTCAGTGGCTTCAGTCTCTGGATGTGGAGCCGGAGGTTGGGAATTCCGGTCCCCCACTGGGCCACAAAAGAAAGAGGCCGGCCTACGTGGCCTGGGGCAAGCTGCATAGGGGTCCCAGGTCATACCCAGAAGACGGAGGAAGGGAAACTACCTCTGTGTACTCTCTACCTCCAAGGTAATAGTCCCCCCCCCACTCTATTCTGCTTAGGCCTCATCTAGAGTCCTGTGTTCAGTTCTGGACGCTGCAATTTAAGAGAGATGTTGACAAATTGGAGCATATTCAGAGGAAGGCAACAGGGATGATTAGGGGGCTGGAAACCAAGCCCTGTGAGGAAAGGTTGAAAGAAATGGGCATGTTTAGCCTTGAGAAAAGAAGGCTGAGGGGTGATAGGAGAGCACTTTTCAAAGACTTGAAAGGCTATCCTACAGAGGAGGGGCAGGATGTGTTCCCGATCAACCCAGAGTCCAGGACTTGCAACCATGGGCTCAAGTTAAAAGCAGCCAGATTTCGGATTGAATGTCAGGAAAAACTTCCTAACTGTTGAGCAGTACGACAATGGAACCTGTGACCTTGGGAGTTGGTGAGCGCTCCAAGGCTAGAGGCCTTCAAGGGAATATTGGGGAATCCTCTGTCCGATCTGCTTTGATCTGGATTCCTGCCCTGAGCAAGGGGTTGCACCCTGTGGCCTTAGAGGCCCCTTCCAACTCCATTATTAATATAAAATTCTATGGTACCTGGAAAACCCTGTACAGGGTCATTGTGTGAGAATTGACTCGACAGCATGTTGTTGCTGTTGTTATGGACCCCCCCCCCGGATGAGAAAACCCTCCCTTGCCGATGCAATGAAGGCGAGCGAGCACCTCCCCCTTCCCCTTCCATCTGTAATGAGACAGGCAAGGTCTGGGATCAGCAACGCGCCCTCCTGCCCTCCGCGTAGATGTAAAGGAATCGCCGTGGGTGAGATAAGAGACCAAGGCGTGGGGGACGGGAAAGCAGCTTTCTGGGAAGAAACATTCCAGAATCCCTGAGCCAGTGCGTCGGATTCTGGGAGGTGTTCTTTCTAAAACCACCGGGTCTAACCTGCGTCTGGGAGCTTCCAGGGCAAGTGGCCGGCCGGCCAGCAGATGAAAAATGAGGCTGACGCCTGGCTGACCTTTGGGCCTGGCCGCCATCATCTTCCAACAAAAAGGTGGCACAAGAGAGCAAGGGTGGGGTGGAGGCCCCAGAGAAGGGAGCAAAGGAGCTTCGACCCAGACCAGGGAGAAAGGGAATAAAGGCTGGCCGCTTACCTTCACCAGCACGTAGTCGCCCGGCCTGAGGCCAACGGTGGCTCCCCGACCAGTGCCATCATCTACCTCCGTATCGGGGAAGATTACTTTGATGTTGCCGTCATTCCTGCCGCAGAGGTCCAAGGGGGAGCGTCTGCTGGGCTGGAGGGAAGAAAACAGCAGGATTGGTTTCCTGCCTTGCTCTGACCCAACGCGTTGGGCTCCCAAGGCACAGCGGGAGTCCGTTCGCCCCTTTAGATGGCCGGAGACTCTCAGGACTCTCCGGACTTTACAGGGAAGAATCTCCATTAAAGCAAACTGTCAGACCACAGAGGTAGGTGGGCGTGTTGTTGTTTTTTAAAGGACTCCACCTGGAGGTGGCAAAATGCCAGCAACCACTTACAGAATCCTTGGTGTTCTCTCTGAGGTCCCGAAGCCACCCTTCCCTTCCCTCTCTGGGTGGAACTGGGGCGGCCGCCTCTTGCAGGCGGGAGTGGCCATAAAGGAAAAGCTCTTGTCGCTGAGCTTCTGGGTTGCATTGTTAGCTGGTACTCACACCCTCCACCAAAATGACGTGGGTCTGACCCACAGCAGCTGCGTTGGCCCGGGACGCCTCCTCCCGGAACACAGTCATCAGCTCCTTGACCCTGCGGCGCTTCACCTCCAGGGGCACATCATCCTGCAGCCGGTGAAAGGCCCGCGTTTTCTGGAAGAACAAAGCATCCGTGACTCCAAAGCCATCACCGGCCGGGAAATAACTGATCCATCCCCAGTTTTCAGCCTCAAGTCCATCAGGTCTCTTGGACGTCATTTCACGGAAGCCCTAGCGAGTATAGCCAACCGGCAGGGATCCTTGGGAGTTGAAGTCCATAACAATCAAGAGTCAAGGGTTTAAAACAGGGGTTCCCAACCTCAGGTGTTCTTGGACTACAACTCCCAGAAATCCTGGCCAGCATGAAGGCTTCTGGGAGCTGTAGTCCATGAACTTCTGGGGACCCAAGTTTGAGAACCACTGGCTAAAAAGAACTGCTATGCACATTTACCCAAGAGTAGGCCCTGCCAAGTTCAGCAGGACTTGCTCCCCAGTAGGTATGCAGCCTTCAACACATAAAAAAGTACATCCGCACCACACTTTTTTGGCAAAATTAGACACAGCGCAAGTGTCACCGCACATTCTGCATTATAATCTGCATCTCAAGGAGTTCCAAAATTCTGCACCAAGGAAAACTCGATTCTGCGATTTGCAGTGGCGCACCATGGATCTGACACGGGTCTCCTACCGTGGTGCCAGTGTGCGTAAAGCGTGCGTTTCGATTCAAGACCGGACGGGACCCTCACCTGCCGCTCACTGTAAGCGAAGATGAAGGCTGCGTTGTAGCGGACGTCTCGGATCAGCGACACCGTCTGCTGGTGGTCAGCCTCCGTCTCCCCACAGAAGCCGGCGATGATGTCACTGCTCAGGGTGATGCCTGGCCCCCCAAAGGGCCCAAGGGGAGAGGGAGAGACATGTCAAATGGGAAACGGAGGACAAGAAGCAGGGGTTACCTCTCTGCCACTCACGCTTGACTTAAAACATGACAAAGTGCACGCTGAGCGCCCGACCCTCAGAACGAAATGTCAAAGGGAGGTTCCAGCCCCGAGCTAGAGGTTGGACTCAAAAGCCTTATCGATTCATTCCAATTCCGTGATTCCCCGATTCCACACACGCACGGCCCCCCCTTAACTCTAAAGCCAGTGCCCATGCACTATTAAAGCAGGACTCGGGGGGGGGGGCTTGTCAAAATCTGAGAACCTGACGCTTTTCACTCATTTCAAAAACTACGTTTCACATCCAGACTGCGGTCCATATGGGATATATTTAAAACACATTCACCCTGGCAAGGAGCCTTCCTGAAAAGAAGGGCAGAGAAGAAGAAGCAACAAAATGGGCTGGAATCTCTGTTGTGAATTCCCAGAAACCTCTTCTGGCAACCTTCGCCATCCCTCCGATCAGGGCTAAGAAGCGCCTTGAGAAGCCTCACCTCCCCCTGCCCTCCATTACAACAACACATCGCAACACACCCATCCACCTCGCTGGCCAAAGCAAGTGGTTTGTAAAGATTTTACTTCCCCGAGAGGGGGGGAGGAGAGGGCAGCAGTGGTGGCAACCGGCAGCCCCTACCTGGCAAAGACTCCCGGACGTGTTGAACAAGTTCCAAGTAAGCTTCTCGTGTATACCTGGTGGGAAGGTGGCAACGTTAGGCACCCGCGATCCATCATGCGAGACACCCCATGAATCATCCTCACCTGCTGTCAAGTGAGTTCTGACTTCAAATAACCCTTTTCAGGCGTTTTCAGGTTTCCCCCCCTTACCTTCTGTTCTGGGGGTGGCCCGGGGATTGTGCAGCTGGCCTAAGGCCACCCAGGCTGGCCCTCCTCCTGGGAGGCCCAGTGGGGAGATTCGAACTCCCAACCTCTGGGAGTCTGCAGCCAGAGACCTCGGCCCCTGAGCTCTCCAGTCCTGCATGGATCTGGGGTGGAGGGGGAGGCGTCAGGTTCAGGCCACAGATTTGCAAGCCCGGGCATCAAATGACCTCCCCTTATGTACGCTTATCGACCACATGACTTAACGACTGGGCGTACAAAACGAGAATGGAAAGAACATTTCCTACTGCAACCAGAGCATTTCTCTTTGTTCATTGTTCTTCGCTTTGGGTAAAATAATTATCTTTTTAATGATGTTAACTGCATTGTATACTCATGGTTTTCAACTTGAAATATTGTCTTTTAATAGTTAAGCCACCTTGAGCCCTTTTCAAGGAGAAAGGCAGAGTAAAAATATTTTAAACATGCACACAAAACAAACAAATAAATGTCTTCCTACCCTTAGCACATTGCTAGGGGTAGGAACTTACTGTGTCCCCCCGCCCTGCCCCCCCGGAACTTACTGACCCTCTCCTCATGGCCTCCAGGACCCGCGAGCTGCCGCTCTGGATGGGGAGATGCAGATGTTTACAGATGTTGTCCCTCTCACGCATGAGCTGGAAGACCTGCCAGGAACAGACGGGGCAGCAGCTAAGAAAGCCCAGGAGAAAACTCATCCCTTTTTTAAAGAGTCCCAGCGCAGAATCAGACCGAAGGGTCCTCTTGGCCCAACACTCCCTTCCCAAACTGGCACGCCAGGGGGGTCAACCAGCAACCCTCTCCTCCTCCTCCTGCCTCTCCAACGCTCCCCTGTGACGGCTGCGAAGAGCCACACGGCCTCTGGCGCTGGGGAGGATCCACAGTTATCTTGGCTGGTAGCGGCTAGCCATGTGTCCAAAGCAGGGCTTCCCAACTAGTTGTCCTTGGACTGCAACTCCCAGAGAATCCTGGCCAGCACAGTCGGTGGGTGGAGGCTTCTGGGAGTTGCAGTCCAAGAACATCCAGGAAACTCAAGGTTAGGACCCACTGGTGCGACCTTCTTTCCAATGCCATTATTCAAGCGACAGCCACCCTGTAGCAGAGAATCTGACAGCCAAATGCCACCTTTGGGGCGTAGAAGCCGGCGCGAGGCTGAAACCCACCTCATCCGGGAAGTCCTTGGGGTGTGGGGAAGTGAACCGGATCCTCATCTCCGGGTCGACCCGAGACACACGATCCAGGAGCTCTGCAAAGCGCAAGCCGCCCTGCTTGGGCTTATAGATGGTGCTGAACCCTCGGCTCAGGCGGGTCGGGGCTGCCGGGCTCAGAGACTGGCCCTCGGAGATGTCCCGGTAACTGTTGACGTTCTGACCCAGGAGCGTCACCTCCTTCACGCCCTGAAAGGGGAAGCCCAGCCGATCCATCAGTGTTGGGGGGGGGGGAGAAACCGCATTCGGTCTACAGAAAACGGATCCAGGGTGGAAGCAGAGCAGAAGGCAGCTTCAGAGAGGGATTGGGGGGGGGTCTCCCCTAAACCCGCAGAAGCTCCTTGGCCGAAGGAGACAGGAGAAACGAGTGCGGAGGTCTTACAAACGGCTTTCCACTTTTTAATTAAAGAGCCTCGTTAATTAAAAACAAAGGTGAACCTATTAAGAAACAAACCCAAACAAAGATACATCAAATCAGTATCTCTTGGATTCCCTTTTGACTCCCCAATTTCAAATAGGAACGAAAGCCATGGAAGCTCTCTTTCAGATTTTTCATCCTACAACTAACATGTCATTTCTTTTTCCATCGCCCGAGGAAACATTCTGATAAGACACTGCTATATGAATCTGGGATTTGTCTACAAAACCAAGCCACGTCATACGGACCTGACCACCGAACACACACATCTACGGACCCTGAACGACAGAGGTGACAATTATTTCTAAAATGACCCCTCCTCCCAATTTTCCAGGCCTCACCAGGGGGGAGACTCTCTGCTGTAGTTGTTTTCATCAGCTCAGTGAGATTTCTCAGTCCCTTCCCCCCCAAAAAAAAACACGGTCAATGTCTCGTCCCCCTTTTATTTTAGGCCAACTCTTCCACACCAGAAACGGCCAAATTCTGTTGGCGGTCTGGGTTCTTCCTAAGCAAGAAGGACACCATTTTGTACTGGGGGGGGGCATCCTGTGTAGTTTGGCCCTCGATCTGGAAAAAAATAAAAATAAAAAAACCCACCATAGAAAAAAATCCTGCCAAATCTAGAAACAACATTTCACAAAGAAAAATGCTGCTGCAATGAGAAAATAATCGATTTTCCCCACCCCACCCCATTGGTTTCTCTTCAGAAGGGAGGGGTTGTACGATTCACTTTGAAACCTTCTGCATTTTTGAGCTATTTTTGTTAGCCTTGCCAGGAGTTCTATGCTACCGAGGCAAAATCCTCCTGCATAGCTACAGAGATGCACGTTTGCCCATGATATTTTGACTTCAGGCAAAAAGCTACACCCTCGGTTTTAATGCTGGCCTTAAACTATGCAAGAGTGCAGTAATATTAATAAATTCTCATTAAGAATGATTGTTGTGGATTTTTCAGGCTCTTTGCCCGTGTTCTGAAGATTGTTCTTCCTGACGTTTCGCCAGTCTCTGTGGCCATGGGCATCTTCAGAGGACTGGAGTCGGAACTCTGTCCATGCTCTCTTGGTGTTTGTTGGATAGTATTTATAGCTGTGGAAATGGCTTTTTGTCTTTTTTTAGGAGATAGGGTGATTAGCATGTTTTTGTTGTGATGTTGTGATAAGAATGTTTCTCCTGTTCTTCTCTGTTGAGTCATCCATTCCTTCGCAGTGCAATTATTCCCGTATTATCCTTCCACGTCATTTTCAATTCATTTGACATTAGATGGGAGTAAAACTTCAGAAATTAATCCGTAATTAAACCACTCTCAAGACTGGTCTAACCTGTCATGGATGGTTCGTTTTACTCCAGCTGATTAACTCCAGCTTTAATTTCCCTTAAGGAGATTTCTGCCGTTCCAAAAACTATTGACTATTCTCGGCATTCTCTTCCATCGCTTACGGCTTTTTATTTTGGGATATAATTTATTGTTACTGTAGGATGGCCGGACAGCTTTGCATGTTAAAAAATACAGCAGGAACAACAACCCCTCCCTCCCGGAATCAGCAGGGCCCTTATCTGCTGTACTGTTAACAGAAAATAAAATGAAATAACTTAGAAACCACCTGGTCTGAAAGCATCTGTACTTCCTGGAGGATGGAGGCGATGGGCCGGCTCCGTTCGCGGCCACGGGTGAACGGCACGATGCAGTAGCTGCACATGTTGTCACAGCCGCGCATGATGGACCTGCGGGGGAGAGCTGTGTGGGTGAAGGAGCCAGATTCAGGCAGCCCTACCTCTGCCAGCCGTCCCCCCACAAGCCATCATAAGAGTTACTTTTTCAGACCACAGTTCCTAGAATCCACCCCCTCCCCCCAGGCCACAAAAAGACCACTTTCTCAAACTTCAGGAAATAAGGCAGATGAGCTTGGTCAAGAGCTGGTCCATTTTGCCAAGGGTGACCTGTTGTTGTTGTTGTTGTTGCATGGAGCGGCAATGGCTGCCCTGGGTTTTAGTCAAGACTGTGGCCCTATTTGGGCCCAACGGCTCTCCTGAGTCTGAGAAGCACTTTGGAAGCTCTGAAGCCAGGACCAAGGAGGCCAACGACCTCCTTCTGGATCACCCAGTTTCCACCTCCTGTTCCAACCGCCGATTTTAACCTGGGGTCGGAAACCTTCCCTTCCCCAGGTGGCCAGCGCCACCCCTTCCTATTCTTCCTGGGCACAGGAGGCCCAGTGCCTTGCCTTCAGAGAAGTGAATGCCCAGGATGGCTAGGTTTGGCTTCTGTCTATTTTGTGAAAAGGAAGGATGCCTTTAGAACCACAGATGTGTGCCTTTGGGAGCCCACCTCTCGCCAAGGGCCAGCGCCAGCAGCTGGAGGTAATCCGGTCCACTGGTGGAGGAGCCCCCAGCCCTTTGGGATATTGGTCTTAGTGGTCTTAACCGACCAGTTAGGCGGCTGGTGGAGGAGCCCCCAGCCCTTTGGGATCTTGGGAGAGCTAAGGTCCCCCAGGTGTTTGAAGCCCCCAGCCCCAAAACGCACCCCACCCCCTCCTGATACTGACTAGAGGACCTCTGCAGCTCCGTCTCGCTCACTCACACATAGGCTGACGTTGCACTGGCATCGGTCTGGACCGGCAGGACGTCTGCGTAGGTTTCATCCAGGGACAGCAGGACGTTGGCAGCTTGCTGGCCAGTCTCGGCCACCGCCAGGAGCCGAGGAAGGTCACGGTAAGCGTCCGGCCCTGCCACAATGTCCACGATCTTCTCCTGGTCCAAGATCTTCTCCTTCAGCCGCTCGGCCATGCAGCCTGGAGGGAGGAAGAACGCCGGAGGGTCAGAGAGAAAGAGACGGGTGGGACCAGCGAAGGAGCAGCCAAGGAGAAGCAAGGGTCTTTCCGGAATAAAGACAACGTGAGGAACCACAGGCTTCAGTCTTGTGAGAAATGCTCACACCCTTGCTACTTAATACAGGAACCAGGCAGCCACGAATTCAAGCGGCTCTCCGTTAGGTAAGCATCCGGCCCTGCCACAATGTCCACGATCTTCTCCTGGTCCAAGATCTTCTCCTTCAGCCGCTCGGCCATGCAGCCTGGAGGGAGGAAGAACGCCGGAGGGTCAGAGAGAAAGAGACGGGTGGGACCAGCGAAGGAGCAGCCAAGGAGAAGCAAGGGTCTCTCCGGAATAAAGACAACGTGAGGCATCACAGGCTCAGTCTTGTGAGAAACGCTCACACCCTTGCCACTTAATACAGGAACCAGGCAGCCATGAATTCAAGCGGTTCTCCATTATTAAAAGCACTTTTGCAGAAGCGGGGGTCCTAACTAGGTAGGCACACCAACCAACACAGATAGCTCGATATTTCTTCCCTCTTCCCGGCCGCAGGGTCCCCCCCCCTTTGTTTCCCCATTGGTCAGGTACTCCAAGGTGTACAACCTATCAGGTGCGCCTAAACCGATCATATGAAGTCCCTGTTTGCATCTCCCATTCCCCTTATTAGCCAGACCCCAGACTCCTATTTATTTTTCCCCTTATTCAGTGCATGTTCCCCTTTCCTTAACCTTCTCACGGTCATTCTTACTGACCCATACGGTTTCCACAGGATTAGCTGAGCTTAATCGCTCCATCTCCTTGTCAGTACAATAAGGGCACCTCCCTTATTTGTACTTTCCTCTTATAATTTCTCAAAACTTCCCTAAATTCCTTATGTCGGCTAAATAATCAACAAAGAGTACATACTGATTATTTTACCCTGACTATTTACTCAGTCATTCCTGTCCTTGCCGGGACTGGCAAAAGCAGTCTGTCTCCTTTGCTTGTCTCCTCTTCTCTCGGCCTGAATGTACAAAACAAGGAAGCCCACCAATCTTTTCTACCACTTTAATGGTACAGGCAGGAAACCTCATTTTCCCGGGCAGCGAAGGGTCCAGCGGAACTCTTTCCAGAGTTTTTAACACAGGGAAACTGCTTCGTGACCCCATGGACCTGGCGTGCTCTGGTCCATGGGGTCACGAAGAGTCGGACACGACTAAACGACTAAACACACACACACACAAACTGCTTAAAAATGCAATTCCTTCACACACAGACGCCACAAAATAACGCTCCCAAACCTCACTGGCTAACTTCCTGTTGCTTAGCATAGTCCCTTGCACAAGAGTAGGACCACTGACTCAATGGAGACCTGGTGCATCAGGACGTTGCACTGATTCAAACAGGTCTACTCTAACCACAGCTTTAGCACCATAAGTCCCAGCTTGGGGAGGTCTGTTTGAATTGGTGGGAGGTACGGAGGAGCTGACTCGCTCAACGGCCCTCCATTCAAGTGGGCCCGCTCTAGGCCGAGTTACTACACTGACTGACAGGATTTGGGCTCCTGTGTGGTTTCAGAGACAGAGGAAGCCTGAAGGTGTGAACTCGCTCTTCCAAAGCCCTTGCAGCTGAAGGAGGATGGAAGTCCAATCGACGCTCATCCCAGATGGCAGGACACGTCATAACGGGCTGAAGCGACAGGAAGCCAGATTTAGGCTGAACGTCAGGAAAAACTTTCTAACAGTCAGAGCAGGACAACAACGGAACCACCTTGGAAGCGCTCCAACACTGGAGGCCTTCAAGAGAAAATGGGATAACCCTCTGTCAGATCGGCTTTGATTTGTATTCCTGCCTAGAGCAGCGGATTGGACCCGATGGCTTTCTCGGCCCCTTCCAACTCTGTTAATTCTAGGACTTTATTTATTTATTTTTATTTATTTATTAAATTTATACCCCGCCCATCTAGACACAAGTCTACTCTGGCCAGTTAACAATAAAAATAGAATAAAAACAATTTCCCCTCACGCATGAAAAACACCCTGGGTGCAGCATGATGTGCAGATTCACTGTTATGTGCAGAGCTGAGCTGAATAAATATTTTAAGCTACCTTTGTAAACTCATTGTTTTTAGCTTTAAATATCATCTTTTAACAATGCAAGCCGCCTTGGGTCCTTTTTAAGGAGAATGGTGTGGTAAGAATCTTTTAAATAAATAATAAACCTACAAAAATAAATACACGCCCATCTGCCAGACCGTGCAAGGAATCCACACCAACCAAGATAAGGCACTGAGCGTATGAAACCCACAGGGCTGTTGGCACGGCTGTGACCAGCATTGCAGAATGAGTCCCCTTTGCCACAGCCTCAGATAAGGGTTGGATCTGGTTTGCCGTAACAGAAAATGGAAAGATTTCCCCAAAGTTCCCCGCAGAGGCGACACAAGGATATGTTGAACTGCCTTCTTACATATTTCTACTAAAAACCCTCCAGAAGTTGTCCCGGGTGCTCCCAGTTAGGGCCTCTTGTCTGCTAACGGCCTTTCCTAAGAGCTTTTTCCTCACCTAAAATCCCGATCCGTAGGGTTCCTTGTGACCGACGCCGCTTGGACTTCATCGCCTTTAGGGTCTTCAACCGGTTCCAGACCGTCTGCTCAGCTTTCTCCCTGAGAAGTGAGAAGCTCAGAGTCTCAGTGACTGCCTCAGCCCAGTGGATGGCGCTCAAATTCTTTTTGCCAGTCTCCGCCTGCAACCGATGCAGACACCAGACTTCTCATGTGCCCTAAAAGCAAAGGCCTGGATCTAACTGCTGGTCCCCCACAAGAGTAGAACCAATGCACCCCTTGTGGGATGGCAAGCCATACATTTTTTTAAAGGTTGCCCTCTTGTGCCATCGGGAAAAACTTCCTGACTGTTAGCTGTTGAGCGCTCCAACCCTGGAGGGCTTCAAGAGAAACACAGAACACCACCGGGCACATCTCCTTTGATATGGATTCCGGCATCAAGCCGGGGGTTGGACTCGATGGCCTTATAGCCAGCCCCTTCCAACTTCACAATTCTATGATAAGGAAGCCCCCGGTGGGAACTTTTGCCTATAAACACCAAACAGAAAAAGTCTGGTGCGAGCGGCGACTTCACCTGGACAGAACTTCACAAGGCTTGAGAAACTTATCTCCTGGACGACTCTTCCCCAACCCTTCAGGTGGAAATGAGACCTGCTGTCTGGGGTTGGAATCTACAGCCCAGGAAAAGTAACTTTCCCAGTTGGCGCCGAAACTCTAGCCCAGCCACGCTCTGGGTGATCTGCGCACTGCAGCCCAGTTTGTTTCCGGGAACGCACCGTTGACGGATGTTGCCTTCCACGATCTGGCTCATAATACTTTTTCATTCCGATTGTCCTCACCTCCTATCATTGCCCGAGGCTCTTTAACCAGGCTGCTGAATAAAAAATGTTTCAACCCTCCGAGGCACTGGGTGGGCGCTGACTTGGTTCTCCTCCACCACCACCCTCCACTACCCCTCCATCTCTCCCTCCTTGGAAAGTTTGAAATTCTGTCCTTTCTTTAGTTGGTTGTGTCAGCTACTAATTTCCTGGAATACTGTACAACAGAACCTGCTGATAAAGGGAGTCTTAAGTTAGACCACCAGGTGACTCCCTCACCCGGAGGGTGCCAGGATAAAAAGGTCGGTGTGACGGTGCAACACAGGATCTTGAGTCGCAGGGTGGTGGGAGCAGCCAAGGGATCTCACTGTCCATTTTAAAGCCGGTGGGCAACCGGGGGATGCCATCCCTAGAGCCAAAGAGAACAGCAAACAATTCCTTACCGGATGGAACAGGTGACAAGCAGAACCACATCCGCCTAGTGGAGGAGAAAGAGAAAAGGAAATTAGAGGAGAGGAAAGGATCTTTTCCTAAAAGCAAGGTCTGGCAAAGCATTTCTCTCTGCCCCCTCCCTGAAGCCCTATGCTTAATACTACATCTGGGTGGAAGCAGATTCTAGCTTGTTCCTAGAGATGCGAAGAATTCTATTTCAAAAAAAAAAGGGGGGGGGGAAGACTTTCTAACCTTTAGCACAAGAGACAAATGCTCTTGGGGGCACTATTACAAAACAATGAATTACAGTTATAGTTCCGATGTCCTTGAAACAGCTGGTTAGCATTACAGCTGCAATTCTGAAAGCCAGTTCCCTTAGTTAATTTAAATACTGTGTTTTCCGGAAAATAAGACAGGGTCTTATATTAAGTTTTGCTCCAAAAACGCATTAGGGCTTATTTTCAGGGGATGTTTTATTTTACAGTCATGTTATCTTCTGGTTGCTGCCCAAGGGTGGAGGGCAGGGTTTCACTCAACTGGGGCTTATTTTTGGGCTAGGACTTATATTACGAGCATCCTGAAAAATCATACTAGGGCTTATTTTCACATAAGGTCTTATTTTCAGGGAAACCGGGTATATATACCCCTTTCCCCCCAAAATAAGATCTAACCTGAATATATGCCCTAGTATGATTTTTCAGGATGCTCATAATATAATATATACATTTCAAGCAGCTCTTCCCCAGCTCCCCATCCACCAGGAGCCTGAGCCAGTGCTTAGATCAGGGGATATCCTTTTTCTGTCATTGAGGAAGACCATGCGCCTAAAACTATGGAAGAAACCAAATAGTTGTAGCCACGCTACAGAAACAGTGGACTTGCTCCCCACCAAGTTCTAAACATAAAACATTACTGTTGTTGTTACATGCTGAAAAAAACACACCCGGACAAATGGTGACCCTATGAACAAAGGGCGTCCAAAATGCCTTGCATTATTTAGGGTCTTGTCCAGAGAATTCTGCCTCCTCAGGATGGGCCCCCAAAGTAAGACAGCCTCAGTACCATCTTTTTGCCTCCAGAGAGAGATCAGGCTTGATTTGATTCAGGACCCCCTTGTTGGGTCTTTTTGGCTGTCCATCCGCAAAGCTCCACATTTCAAATGAATCATTTTTCCCCCGCAAGCTTTCTCTATGAGCCGTCTTTCATGCTCAAATATGGTTAATGGGAATATAAGAGTGCAGCTCCACCTTTGTCAGTGGGTGAAGGAATTGTGGTGCTGGAGGAGGCTCTTGAGAATCCCCTGGACTGTAAGGAGAACAAACCTATCCATTTCGAAAGAAATCAACCCTGAGTGCTCCCTGGAAGGACAGATCCTGAAGCTGAGGCTCCAATCCTTTGGCCATCTCATGAGAAGAGAAGACTCCCTGGAAAAGACCCTGATGTTGGGAAAGTGTGAAGGCAGGAGGAGAAGGGGATGACTAGAGGATGAGATGGATGGACAGTGTCATCAAAGCGACCAACATGAATTTGACACAACTCCAGGAGGCCGTGGAAGACAGGAGGAGGGCCTGGCGTGCAGTTCTGATCCATGGGGTCATGAAGAGTTGGACACGACTAAACAACAAAAAGAACTAAGCACAACTAAGCACTGTGACCAGTTACCTTCAAGATTGGACAACACCTTATGAAGACATTACAGCTTTTTGTATTTGTTTTTCCTAATGGGTCCCAGATGTTCCCAGTGTGTGTGTTTTTACAATCCAGGAAGGCCATCTCAAGAGCCCCTACTCAATCAGAGAATATGAGGTGACACACTGCTTTACTGCAATACAAGAATTAACTTTTCTGACAGAATAAAGGTTCTGGGGTGCACCTCTCACAAAACACAGCTCATATGCCACATCTGAAAACCCAGAATTTAGAAACATTCTGGATGTGGGCTATGCCGGCTGGCAGATTCTGGATATCATGGTATAGAAAAAGGAACTTTGATACCTCTGGATTCTGAAATACTAGAGGGACAAGCAGGAGAATTCCGAGTATTGTAACTGGGGGAGAAAAAAAAAGGCTAAAAGCTTGGCTAAAAACAGAATGGCCGCCAGCAGCCACTGGAACCCAGTGCACCTCTTCCAGTTTGCTCGTCCGAAGGAAGCCGCTCTTCTGAAGGATGGACCAGGCAATCTCTGTATCGTTGACATTCATCTGACAGCCGTAGGTCTCTAGGTACACTGGGAAGGGGGCAGAGGGTGGGGGTGGAGGAGAGAAAAAAAGTTGGGAATTTTTACCACTTGGTTGAATGCAACTCCATAACCCACAGACGAGAGGACACCCTACCCACAAAGTGCTCTGGTGGGACACCCATTTTCTAAGGGAAAAAGGGACTGGCCTCTGACCTGGAAACACTTTTCCTCTTCACGCTGAGAATAGTTATCATAGCATTATAGAAAATGGAGTCGGGAGGAGCCTCAAAGGCCATTAAGTCCAACCCCCCCCCCCCCGCTCAAGTCAGGAAGTCAAACCAAAATATCTCTGTCAGAGGGTGGTCCAGTTTTCTCTTGAACGTCTCCAGCTCTGGAGCGCTGACCACCTCTTGAGGTCATGGGTTCCTCTGCCGTACTGCTCTAACAGTTAAGAAGTTTTTTTTCCTGATAGTCAGCCTAACTGCAGAGCGGGAAGGAATCCTATGGATCGTGGACTGCAGCCCGTCCCAGGGAGCTCACAGAAACATAGACTAATGGGAGTGGAAAGGGGCCTATAAGGCCATCCAATCTGATCCACTGCTCTGTACAGGAATACACATCTAAGTAGATCTGACCCATGGCTTCCCAGTTTTCTCTTGAATGCCTCCAGCACTGGAACACTCCCTACCTCCCGAGGTCATGGGTTCCATTGTTGTAACTCTGCAGATGCTCAGAGGGACGCTCAGTGATTCACAAGTGAAAGAAGCAATCGCTATGTCAAGAAAACCCAAATTCTACTCTCCACATTGAAGTGAAAAGCTTTATGCACCCAGCAGAAAAAGGCATAAACTTATGTAGAGAGTAGAGCTCTTTTTGATGGGTTCACAAAGGTACACCCTCAAGCCAGAGTCTGGACTTCGTTAATCCGTGCTATTATCCCACGGCTGAGCTCTAGCACAGACACATTTTCGGAGCTGAGCTTCAGATCTTTCTCACCTGACTTTAGGAATCAGGAGACTGATTTGAACAGGGCTGCGCCTCCATCCGTCCTGCAAATCCCTATTTGTATCCTATCTGGATGGGTTGCAACAGGATAGCTGAGAATCCCCTGTTCCTCCTGCTAAGTCATCCTCAGCTGCCTAAGGGACAAAGCTTTAGACAGACAGAAAAAAGCTGGCCAATTTCACCAACCTTTCCTTGGTGGCTCGGAGCAGGTGCTGAGGCCATGAGGAGATGCGGGGGCCTCCTCCACTTCAGAGGGCCAAGAAAGGGTCTTCTGTGCAGGAGCAGCTCCGTGTAGGAAGTGCTGCAAAGAGGGTCCCTTGGCTAACTTGGCATGAAAGCCTTCCAAGCTCCCTTTGCCTTTGGCGTCCTGTGTGCGAGTCCCGGGCTCTGGACTGCAAGTCGAAGCCCACGCCTGGAGATTAGGCGGAGTGGCCCGAAGTGTCCACCTCTGAGGGACTGCTCTGGGACCTCCCAGAATGCTACGTAAGCAAAGCATCTTTGGTACCAGCCACAACTGCTTCCTAAAACAGAACAAGACATCGGCTGTGTTGGCAAACTTTCCAAAGGGAAACTTCAGAAAGGAGACACAAAAAAACTGTTATGGAAAGGAAAGAACTGGCATGTGAAATACACTTTTACACACACACACACAAAGAGAGAGAGAGACAGAGAGAGAGAGAGAGAGAAATGTTGGGAAGTTGGTTGTGGGCCCAGCTTGTTTTGCAAGAGGTGCTTCCTTCGCATGCATGCAGAACACACTGTCCTGTGTGTAATCTGCGTAAGCATCAGAATATTTCTGCCCCTTTCTTCGCATCACGCTTTAGAATTATGGCTATCTATGAAACAAAGGGGATTGGAATGCTAAAGTAGGGAGTCAAGAGATAAAAGGAACAGCAGGTAAGTTTGGCCTTGGAGTTCAAAATAAAGCAGGGCAAAGGCTAATAGAGTTTTGCCAAGAGAACAAGCTAGTCATCACAAACACTCTTTTCCAACAACAGAAGAGGTGACTCTACACTTGTACATCACCAGGTGGGCAATATCGTAATCAGATTTGACTATATTCTCTGCAGCCAAAGATGGAGAAGCTCTATACAGTCAGCAGAAACAAGACCTGGAACTGCTTGTGGCTCTGATCACCAGCCAAAAACAAGACCTGGATCTGACTGCGGTTATGATAATCAGCTTCTCATAGCAAAGTTCAAGCTTAAACTGAAGAAAGTAGGAAAACCCACTGGGCTAGTCAGGTATAATCTAAACCAAATCCCTTATGAATATACAGTGAAAGTGAGGAACAGATTTAAGGAACTCAATTTGGTGGACACAGTGCCTGAAGAACTATGGATGGAGGCACGTAACATTGTACAGGAGGCAGCAAGAAAAACCATCCCAAAGAAAAGGAAATGCAAGAAAGCAAAGTGGCTGTCCAATGAGGCCTTAGAAATAGCAGAGAAGGGGGGGAAATACAAGGGAGACAGGCAAAGTTACAGAAGATGGAATGCAGACTTCCAAAGAATAATGAGGAGAGACAAGAGGGTCTCCTTCTTGAAGCA